GCTGCCGCCGGCTGGCCGTGGAGGCGGCGCGCAGGGTGAGCCGGCCCGCGGCCCCGAGCGCGCCCGCAGCGGGCCGCCCCTCGCCTCGGCCCCGCCGTGCGCGGGGGGCGCCTGCCCAGGCTCCTGCGAACCGGGGTTTTGAAGGAGCAACGTACGGTCCGAGCGCACGGGCGCCGCGGTCGTGCGGCGCGTGCTGCCCAAGCGTGTKGAAAACGGCACCCTCCTTCCTGCCGTTCACGCTTTCGGCTTTGCCTTCCAGGCTGTGGCTTCGCTGCCCGAAGAGATGAGACCTGGCCCGGATCTGGATGGGTTCCCGTGGGAAATAGTGATTTGTGCCGGCGTTGTTGGCATCTTTACCGTTTTCCTGTTTCTGTACAGAAGTTATCAATCAGTAAGTATTCAAGGAACATACAGATGTGTAGGCTGTATTAGTATTTTTAACAGTTGAAACTGCTAGATCTGGAGAGATGCCACCTGGCATTTTCAAGAGCAAGGTGCATGTTTTCAGGGGGGTTCATATCAGTGTAGGTAAACCTGGCTGTACTTGTGAGCCCTTCTTCCTTCTGCCCTCTAGTTTGTAATTTTGATTTTTTAAAATGGCCATTCTGTTTGACCACATTATGTTGTAAGAGGAGGAAGGAAACACGAGGGCCAAATTGGTTTCTTTTCCATCAGCACTTTCTACAGAAGATGTACATCTCTTTAGTCTTTGATCTTGGATTTTTTTGTGTGGGTGGTTATTAGTTTATCAGTCTAAAGGTGATCCTTTTTTAAATGTCGTTATGCAGAGGCTCAGTGACTGTACATAACAATGTCAAATGTGCAAAACTCGTGTGTTCTTAATGTAAGTTTGTTGGTTGTGTCCTGTGTTTTAGTCTCCCTGACGTTTTTTTCAACAAGATTGACCTGCAACTTCTTGAATTTGTACTTGATTGATCCCACTGTGGAATGGTTCCTTTAAGATAAAATAGCAATTAGTTTAGAAATATCATATACAGTATTTATTTAATATGCTTGTCATTCTGAGGGTGAACTGTGTAAGCCAGAGGATGCAAAGKTCGTTATTGGGACCTTTGTCACTTTCCTTGAAGCATGAAGTAATGCCGAGAAGGCAACTCCCACGATACTTTTCCTGGGCTGTGTATCTTCATTCTCTGCCCACTCTAGCAAGGAAGGCAGTTTGGGTGAATAATCTAAAACCAGCCCTAACATCAGTAGCAACTGGAGCCAGAGAATGTAATGGAGCCCATTCTGCTTCAATGCAATATTGTAAAACCAGGATTTTACTTTAATTACGCTTGCAGTAATTCTGCTTGATGGCTTAGATGATCGTTTTATTGGTAACTATTTACAGGGTGTTTCTGGAAAAGCAGGACATCTTCTGCTGAAAGGTTAAACTCTTCCTAAAGACAAATAAGAAAATCAATGTGGTAGCCATTCCAAAACAGTTAAGTTGCTTGCAAGTTGAGTTTCACTGCCATGTAAGGTCACAGTAAGTTCATGGTGGTTGGAGCCACACAAAGTTCTCACTTGAGCTGCATTTGCATCATTTACTAATTTCAGTAGGTGTTCCGAAACATGTCTGCACCTGTGCTGCACCTGAAACAGACTGCATTTGCATTCGCTTGTGTTGCCCGCTTACACAATGATCTCGTGGCACATCTGCCTTATTCAGTTCGTGTGCTTCTCCTTTCAAAGGTTTTTTATATGAGTGCTCTCATGCTTAGTCTCCAGGTACAAACCTTGTCTTTGAACAGGGCTTCAACCCTCTTGAAACTGCAGGAAGGTTTCTTTCAGTCTTCTGCCAAACTTCTTTTTCTTTCATTTAATGAAAGCAGCCTTTCAGGTTGCCTTGCCCCTGGCACGCAGCATGTGTGAGCATCAGAGCCTTATAGCTGCATTGCTTTACCCGCTCCCTTCCTGGAACGAGTAGTTCTGAAGCAGCATTGTGAGTTTATCACCTTCATGATAACAGAGTTTTGTATGAGCTGATTATTTACTCTGTTKTTCTCCTTCCTAAAGCTGTGTGCAGTGCAGTGCCTATGGAAAAGTCTCTCCTGTTTTCATTGTGACTTGYTTTACAGCCATTGTAGACTTGAGCTCGTGCTTGAGCCTTCCTAGTTGTCTTTCATTTCTCTGGCCAAATTCGTTCAATCAGAAGGTTAATGTCTGATGACAGAGTGTCTGAGGAGAATCGTGTGTGTATGTGTGGGGGTAGAGGGCTTTATGTATCTAACCTTTCTAGTACGATAGAATACCAAGGTATTAGATATTACAAAAATTGCTGATAAGTTCATTAAACTTGGAACTGTGCTGAAACTGTGTGAGCTGTTTGCAGAAGAATGAATGATTGCTTATTTGAAGTAATGGGATTTGGTTTGTTTTTCTTAAGGGGTAGTGGGGATAGGGATAGATATGACTGTCTCCCTTCTACTTCTTGGACTTCTTGGCCATCTTCTGCATCTGTAAAAAGAACTGAGAGCGGAGGCGGGGGGAAGGAGGCAAAAGGTGAGACAGGCCCTCTGTGAGGTGCATCCCCCAGCCTGCCCAAGAGCAATGGATGTGGTAAAGTTCCTGTGGATTCAGCCTAGCTCTGCAGCTGCATCTCTGCGTTCTGCCCAAACCAGCTGTGGGAAGTTTTGTCTTGTGGTTTGTTAGATTTTGGTTCATCTCGACTGGCAGCTGCTGATGTGRCACTTCTCACAGCTGCATCTGGGCAGGTTGCCTGACAAGTAGTACTTTTACTAGAGCTCTGACTCTTTACATATTGCGTATATATTTTTTTCCTCTCATGAACAGTTAGGCCTGAGCTGCCCCATAGCTCRTCTCTTTCTCCTCTCTTTTTCCCACTTCTTTACCTCCCTGTCATATGGTAGAAGTTGCATGATGGACACGCAGGGTTATGTTATGACTATAGAGAGSTGGGTTGTGAAAGTGCTCCAGGTGAAAACTGACCTCCTTTCCTGTCTCCTGTCCATTTAATTGGAGTTAGAAAAGGACAAGACAGCACAGACATGAAGGATAGAGTGCAGAATGGGATTTCTGATTTTTAGAGCAGACCGCATTTCATTCTTAATTTTCATGAGTAGTAATTTTCTAACCATGTTTTAAGCATTTATTCTTTTTATTTCAGGTTAGAAGCCGACTTTATGTAGGTAAGCTCATTTCTCATACTGTTCCTTTGGAACATGATTTTTTTTTTCTTGCTACTTTTAATTGAGTATTGCAACATTTAGCCTTCCGTTTTTTTTTTAAGGAAGGGAAAAGCAGCTTGCCAATAAAATTGCTGAGCTAGTTGAAGATAAATGCAAAATGCTTGAAAAACTCAGCCTTTGCAAGAAAGAGGTAATTATTCCTTGATTACTACTATTTTTTTTTTAAATAGCTCACTTAAACTGAACCAATTTCCATGTTTAATGCACTAAACTTAAACCTAGCAGTAAGGGCCTTATTTAAAAAGTGATTCTTCAAATGCTTTTTTTATCAGTATATTTTAGTTCTGACTAAAGTGTTAGCAAGTTCTAACTTAAAGCTCAATAGACTATAATGCACTAGAATTAAATTTAAAAGGTTTTATGCTGTGACAGCCTACTGGGACCAGGACCGTCTATGCCTGAATGTTTAGATTGTAGTTATGTTTCAGATTAGAGCATCACAAATTAATTTTATTTAAGTGATTTCTTTACATTTTGATATATATCTTGATATATACATTTTGATATATATCTTTCAGTTTGAAGATCTGGAATTATCTCTGAATGATGACAACATTGTGAAAGATTCAACAGATGCATCATCTCTAGAGGTAAAAACATGAAGTGAGGAAAAACATTTTTATAATTTAAGGCAGTGTTTTGGGAAAAATCTACATACTTAATAAAAAAAACCTTAATTGTTTCAATTCAGAGCATTGTTTTAATTCTGTCTTCCTAAAAGTGACATAGAAGCAAAGAACTTACACTGAGAAAAAGTTTGTGTAAGGATTTTGTCAGATGTAAATAGATCATCTAATTTTTTTTTTTTTATATTAGAGCAAATGATGCATCAAATAATGTTAAGTTGCTTAAATGGTAAGCTGTTCCTGTAAAGACAGCACAGTGTATGAGGTATTTTTTCACGTCTGGTATGAGTGTATCAGCATAACCTGTTGGTACACAGATTAAAATTTAAAAAATTGTTACCACTACTTTTGAGTAAGAAAAAAACACAGAACACAGAATAACTTAAATCTCAGTTTTTTAGGAAAAATTGGATGGAACTACATTGCTTAAATCCCCCAAACTCAAAATATATTTGTAAAGGGATTCTCTAAAAGGTGAATTAAATATCTAACAAGTTATTTAAAATTAATGTATCAGGCAAATAGATATTTTTAATTCTGCACCTAGGATCCTATAGGGGTAGTTGTTATGTGTTATTTATGTGCAAGAGGCTAAAGTTCTTTGAGATTTATCCTTGATGTGATGATAGGTATCGAATGTACTTTGTCACTTCATATTAAAATGGTATTTAACACTTTGTATGTAGTTAAGCATATTATATTAACTATCAAAATAACTTGATTTAGGAAACACATGAAAAACTGAACAAGTCAAACTTGGAACTCAAGCAAGAAATAGAGAATCTTGAAAAAGAACTGGAAGAAGAAAAATCTAAGCACTCAGAAAATGATGAATTGGTGAGAGTAAAAATAACCTCATTTTCTTGTTAGTCAATACATCAGAATATTTCTCATTTGTCTTGAGAAAGCCTTTTCTATGGAAAAGACAAACTATTCTTTGATTTTTTTTTGTTTCCTTTTAATAAATCAAAAACTGTATTTCTTTGCCTCCATCCAAACTTGCTATTGTACTAGAAAAGTTAGATCCGTAAGGGAAAATGCTGGAACTCCCCTCAACACAAACACACCCCTACACACACACTGCTTTTACTGATTTGGTAGTAACAGTCTTCTCAGCTTGAAAATGTAAACGATTTTCACAAATGTCTAGTCTTCTTCAGTTAAATCTGTGGAAAAAGTTTTATGAAAGCTCTTTTTTTTTTTCAGGTGGCTGAAATTCAAAAGAAAGTGGAGTCTTTAGAGAATGAAGCAAAATCAATCCAATCACAAATTGCTGAGGTACATCTCATCTTTATATTTTTTTTTTCTGTTCTCCATATTATTACTTTGTGCATTAAGAAAGAAGAAATAATATTGTCTTTGAGGCTTTTGTACAGTTTGATTTAGTGATAAAATTAGAGGCTTTGATTATCATTTTCTGGGAAGTACAGAAAACCTGTGTTCTCTTTACCTTATTACTCTTCAGTGACACGTAGTGCCACAAAACTAATTATAATCAGCAAAAGCAAAGCTGCTTTTGAAGAATTTTAAGAATACATATATATATATATATACACACACACACACACATGTACACAGCACAGTCAGAAAGTTGAAACAGAAGTCCAATAATACCACTGTGACCCTATTTCTTATGCCTTTCTCATTTCATTTAGGCCAAGTCCACCCTAAAAGTATTTGAGATTAATACAGAGAGACTCAAGACATCTGCTCAAGATGCAGCAGAGGAAAACTGTCATCTCCAGGAAAGCGAGAAACAAGTAGGTTCTTTCTGTTAAAATTCTTGGGAAATTTAATTTATACTGCACTACAGCGTGCAGTATACAAGTACTTTGTACAGTGTTTTCATACAGTATACAAATAAGACTTTTCCAAGGAGCTCATCCGTGTTGCGTTTGTTGATATCACTTGAGCTTTACAGTAAATAGAGGAATAGGGCACAGCTTTAAAATGGCTTTGTGTTGAAATAAATTTTGTCAAAAGTACTCCTTTTTAAAAAGAAATAAATACATTTGTTGGAAAACGTTGAAAGACGTTGTGGAGAGGGTAAGTACATTCTAGGGTAAGATAAGTAAAAATTTTCTTGAGGAAATTGAGATCTGGAAGAGAAAACAGATTTGAGTAGGTCCACAGTCAAGATCCTCTACAGAGACCACAGGTAAAGGCTCCCATTCAATACAGAAAGAAAAACAAATACAGAAATTGCAGTGTGTCCAAAGGCAGGTGAGAAGCATACTGTAGTATCCATATGGATGAGCCAGTGCAAAGTCAGGTAAGAAGTATGAAGGCACAGACAGGACTGTTAGTTCTTGCATTCTAGCTGTGGATAGCTAGTTTTACAGTGAAAATATAGCAAAAAAAAAAAAAAAAGAAAATGGAACATTAACGTTCCACTTCATGGGATGTGCTTATTTTCATGCCCATCCAATGTTCTTGTTGTCTTTGAGGCTAGATGTAGAGGCTGATTGTTCTTCTGTCAGCCTTCTAAAAAGCCATTCAGTACCTCAGCCCTCCCTCTAACAGAGCATTTGAGATACCAGACTTACTGATTCAGGAAATCAAACACTTCTGGATATGGAAAAAAGTTCTGTGCAGGGACATTCTGGTTCCGCACAGCTGCATTCTCATTCAAACCTCATTTTTTCTTTCTTCTTTGTCAAACATATACTCCTTTAGAAAAGCAAAAGAAGTACAAGATATAATTATGTGGCATTATATTACATTCTGTTCCTGGACAGATAATGGACTTGAGTATTCGCTGTAAGATGATGTTTCCTCACAACCGCCCCTAGTCCCCCCGCTCCAATGGGATCTGGTAACTTTGGAGGTTCCACATCTTTATTTCTTTGTGGAAAGTGCATTTCTTTTCTTTCATCTTCATTTAAAAAAATAAAAATAAAGCAATATAATACTAAGGCTGAGAATTGCTTACATTTTATAGCCAGTCATTTTATATCAAGGAAAAAAAGGAATATTTCAGAAAAAAAAAAAAAAAAGAAAAAAAACAGAATATAATTAACCTATCAAGTTCCTAGTTAAAAATAAAACTTTTAGAGTTCATTTGACATTAAATAGACTGGATATAATAGCTTTTTAACCACATGACTTGAGGTGAATTACAATGTTATCAACAGAGTTTTACAGTTTCTAGTAATTTGAGCATATTTGTGTATGTTGTATTTAGCTGAGCATATTTGTGTATATTGTATTTCGCTATGTTATTCTGGTAAATGAAAGACCACACTCATAGAACCAGCAAAGAGAAGTTTTTCTTATTAATATTTTCTTAACAAAAGTTAGCTGTAAGCAATAAAAGTTAGGTTTTCTGTATTGGCATATCTATTTTATTTTATTTTATTTTATTTTATTTTATTTTATTTTATTTTATTTTATTTTATTTTATTTTATTTTATTTTATTTTATTTTATTTTATTTTATTTTATGTCTTTTTAAAGATGGAATTTCACTTGTGTTCAACAGGTAACAAAGATGCTTTTGTTCATGGAAGTTAGAGTACTTTCTTCATCTGTGCACTTGGGCTAATTGGTCATAATCTTCTGGCACATCATAGCTTAACCCTGGTAACAGATGTGCTGTCTGAAAATAGGTTTATGATGCATCAGAGAGAGGAGAGGAGAACAAGGGAACTGTTAATGAACTCCAAACTTCCTATTCTTCCTTGCTTTTCTGCAGGAATATTTAAAATTTATAATGCTTTAGCTCACTACAAATCCCTACTGTTTCTCTTCACTGTAATTCTTATAGATATATGAAGTCTCATGAATTCACTTGCTGTTTCTATCAGTGTCGGATGAGTCTCTTAAAGCTTAGTTTCCCTTTTGATTAATGAAATTTAATGATAAAAGTAATTGCCTGTGTATTTTGAACAATATTGGTGTCAACAGTATTTTTGTGTTACCTGTAATACCTAGTTCAACATACATTACAAATTAATATTTACTTCTCCATGTGCAGTTCTATTCAAGGTGTTTGCTTAATTTTGGTCACCTATATTTTGGTTTATTCAATATACTTCATCTTTGTTAAAAGAGGTGTCCAGGCTTGTTTGTGTATTTGCATTGCAGTTCCCCTGTTTAACAACCCTTCTATTCTTATTTTTAGTAGGAAGGACTGTTATGTTTTTGTTGGTCAGCTAAGATGCTTGTTTTTGTACACTCAGTGCTTATGAACTTGTGGGCTCTTTGCAGCTGTGTTCTTTTCACAGAGTAAGACACATGGTTCCCTGTCTTTCGATAGTGTGGGAGATATTTTGGGTTTTTTTTTGTTAAACTTGAATCATTTTAATTTCCTTTTTGTAATATGTAGGCGAGGTTTAATTGCTTAATATGTTGCAGTGCTTATTTTCAATGAACTGGTGAAGTGTAGCAGCCTTTGGCTGTTGTAAAGTATTTTTGTAAAATATAATTTTACTAGGATGCCAGCAAAATATAATCATAAATCTACTTGTTTTTCTTAGTTGATCATACTAATCAGAAAAATATCCAAGTATTGGTTATATACAACTGCTGAAACTTTCATTAACAGGGAGGCCATTTTAAAAATCAGATTTAAAAATTATGTTGTGAGGGCGGATAGGGCAATTTTGCAAGTCATGCAAATTTACAATGCTTTCTAAGAACTTTCTAGGTTTTCCTTTACCTTGCCTACCACTTGTAAGTGGAGAGGTATAATTTCTGAAGTGGGTGCACGTGTTGSTAGATGAGTCTTGTCCTTTCTAGCCATTCCCCAGTGTTTGTAGATGTTTGTTGTACATCTTGTTGCTAAATTGTCAATACATAGATACTGTCCTTTCTAACTGAACAAAATATTAACTGAGCTGTTCTGCTAATTTCTTAAAATATTCTCTCAACTGGTTACAATAGAGAACTGCTGCCACTGCTGCTGCAAAAAATTACTTTCGATTCTTGAATCTTTAACTGTGGTACAGTCTCTCCCTGTTTAATTCTTATTGATGAGCTTAAGTTTCTGCATGTACATAGATAATGTGCATAATAGGCTCAAGTGCTACTCATCCCTGATTCTTAGTTACAATAATCACACTAATCTAATATTCTCTTCTTAGCTTTTACAAGAAGCTGAAGGATGGGGTGAACGATTTACTGAATTAAATGAACAAACTAAAATGTCTGAATCATCCAAAGCAGATATGGAAGAAGTACTGAAAAATAAAGAGAGTCAAATTAAGGTAAATTATTGCAGCTAGTGTTGAATCAAATTGCTCAGATTAGTAATGCTTACTATTAATGATTACTAATGTTAGTGATCAGCAGATTCTGAGGAAGTCTATCAACCTCGCCATGTCATTAGATGCACTAAGCTGCTTCAGGTTTTGTGTTGTTGTTTCCTCTAATGCTTTGTTTCCTGCTAAGCACACAAGGTTGCTTGGCAGCACGACGGAGCAGTCTGTGGCAGCCTCAGAAGTCAGCAGGAAAAGCACATTTAATTCTGAAGAGTGTTTACTTTTTTGCTTTGGCTTTGGGGAGAGTCACATACGCTGCTAAAAGCATGTTTGCTTGGCCATCTGAAGCATCTTCACTGGAGCATATTGGTTGACCTGCAGATGATATATTTTGATAGGAAAGTAATGTTGGACATCTAGAATCTTGTACATCAAGTTAGCTTAATGTGTGAATGGAACTAAATAAAGGAGAGAATGTGAAAAAGTAATTGGAATGGTAACCATATTTTCATTGCTTATATTTATTTTATTGTTCTTGTTTTGTGGGGGCTTTTTCTTAGTCATTGACACAGTACTTACTAAAGATGAAAGACTGGAGTTCAGCCGTAAGAGAAGATGACAGCACAGAAGATAATCACTGGGACACCGATATAAAGGGTGAAGGAGAAAATGGGGAGCATTTAGGTAAGATTTGGCTGGATGCCTATTTTTAAAACTATTTAATAGACATTTTAGGAATATAGAATGAGACAACTTCCAGAAAAGTTTCAACATAGAACTTTTACAAAGCCAGTGTATTTTCATACCTCACCCAATGTTGATATTCATGTTGGATAGCTCAACTGATGCTTAGAAACCTCCAGAATAAAATACACTGCCTTATAGTCTCATAGTCTATGTGCACAGAGGTAAAATATCTATCCTTATTACAGAGTAACACAGAGACTTTGATACCAGGAYATTTCTGGAATGGCTTAGTGTGTGTTAGTAGGGATCTTGAGCATTTGTAGGTGGCTATCTCACATGGACACCTTCTGAAACTCTTCCCAGCAGTAGCCCAACTTCTGCCTGCTTGTTCTTACTCAGCTGTTAGGCATTGCAGGCAGCTTTGTGCAGCTGGGAGTCAGTGGCATGAAGGTGCCAGGGCTCCACGTAGCAGCAGCAGCAGGAGCAAAGGCCTTTCTTCCTCCTGGTTCTTGCTGCAGCTTCTTTGTGTGACTGGGCTGGTTGTAACACAGCGCACAGCCTAGTAAGTCTGACAGTTTATGCTCTGTTCAGCACCTCACTTTTCAGTGTAGACATTCTCAGTCTGACTGACAAAACAGTGTTAAAATATAGGCAATTTTTCCTCTTTGTAAAATATGCTSTTCCTATCGTGGTATTTGAGGACTATTAATAAATAATAAATGTTATAAGTAAAATAATGAAAACAAAATATCTCAGTAGTAAGTTCTGTCACAAACCTTCCAATGCTGTTTATGTAATGTATTCTATTCTGTTAATCAGATGATCAGCAAAAACGAACCATAAAGAAATTGATATATGCTGCAAAGGTATGTGGTTTTAAGAAATGTGTGGATTGACGGGGAGAAAAATGGAATAAAAGTAATTATTATAAATTTAGATGCATAGAAGTATCTAACGGTAAAACAGAGCTCAGCATCTTTTATATATAATTACATATTTTTACATGCAGACTTTTTCCTAGCAATCTCAATAAGCTCATTTTTATGTTTTGATTGTAGTTAAATGCTTGCTTAAAGACCCTGGAAACAGAAAGAGAGCAAGTATATTCAAAACTGTCTGATGAAAATAAAGCTAAAGGAGAGCTTACAGGTAAGGAAATGTTTTGTTTTTAATMAGATGCTATTTTTGTCAAATAATGGTACAGTCTGTAAGCATTACTTCCACTGGAAAAAAAAGAATATTTCATGAATAGCTGTGATTGCTTTACTTCTAAAAATCAATATTTAAACTAGCTAACTTAAGTAGATATTGAAGTATAGTGATATGTAATGACTGCTAAAGCACAATTTCTCAATTTCATTGTATGCTGTTGGGATTATAGAAGCTCCAAATACATGTACCAAGTGATGTTAATTCTGTAATACCTTCTTTATGAAAGAAATCTGGATGTGAAACAATGGACTTTGAATTTTGAAAATCTGTAGGTACTAGTTTGTAAGGAGTGTAAKCTGAAAACTTCATAAAATCTAAAATTTTGCATTTGGGAAACTGAGCCTAACACTGAGCATCCTTCTCCAATTTTTCCTTTGTTGCTTTAGTTATACTGAGTTAYATTTTATAAAATTAAAGTACAACCACAATTCCCCAAAGATCTGCAGTTAGGTATTCCCTTTTTAGATAGCAAACAGCGGAGTATTCATCATACTTGAACATACTTGGCTTTGTTGTTTGAGTAAAACTGTAATTTTGAGGGTCATTAAACTGATGTAAAAAAAAAAATTCCAAATGGATTATATCTCTGTTCTGTAGAGGTATTCAAAATTCATTGAAGTTCTGCATCTTTCTTGAAACGAGGCCTAGGAATAGTAGCTAGGAAGTAGTGAGCAGGAAAAAGAGCAGGACAGACCTTATTTTGGCTAGATAAGAGTTTGAGAAATCTGAGTTATCCCTTCGGGCTATTTGGCGAGACTTCACTTGGCTAAATTTTCAAGAGTATGTGATCATACTGAGTTTACTCCTTTAGTAAAATATTTATAATAATAAAAGCCTTATATAAAATTTGGATTTTGAATTTCAAAACGATGTTGTCCAGAGAAGCTTTGTGAGCCAGAGGGATGAGGAAGGTTGGGTATTTGGTCAGAGCTGCTGTTTGTGGCAGCATAGTTTCTGTCTTGCATCAGAGATGTAACTGATAGATGCGGGTTAGTATACATTAGTGCTTATTTAAACTTCATAGCATCAGAGAMTATAACAAACTTCCTTGTTAATGAAATGTTGCAGTTATTTTGATTTTGTAAACTGTGCGTTATTCCCAATATAATGAATTGTTTCTAAATTTGACAGAACGTATAGAAAGCCTCCAAAGTGAACAAGTTTCTTTGCAGTCTGAAAATGAACGTTTAGACAGTGAAGTTCAGAAGCTTCAGCAAAAACTTAAAGTCATGACTGAGCTTTATCAAGAAAATGAAATGAAACTGCACAGGTACAGACTTCTCTTGTTTTTTTATATTCAACACATTATTTAATTAAGATTTTATATTCTCTTGAGGGCTGAGAATTACTCAAAATATGAATACTACTTAGCAAAATATTTCAAGTGAAAAACCTCTGGAATGTTARACCTTCTTGTTTGTTTATTATCAAAGTAATTTTATAGTAATTATTTTCATTATAGTTGTGGTATATTCCTTTAGGACTTTTCCACAAGCCTATTACTTTTTTTTTTCTTCTGGAACAAATTTTGGTCTATGAAATAAGCTGGGTGAAGTTGGAAAGCTTGACTTAAAACAAAGATATGACATAATATGTATATCAAACATAATGAAAGAATGCCATGCTTTAATTGTGGGATATATTTTCTATGGGGAAGGTAATTATGTCAGTGGAAGAGTAGGGTCATGTGTAAAACTAAATTTAGASTTAATGCTCCAGGCAAGTTGACTGYTAACTAATAAGTAACATAGAATCCCTGTGAATCACCTGATCCTGATGAAGAAAGATGCAATAAGAGGACTGTGCTTTTTAACTCTCAGTCAGGGATTTTAGTAGGGATTGTGGTTTATTCAGTAAAATCCAAAAAGGTAAAATAAGGACTGAAAATACAGTTGGTTGGAATAGAATATTGTTGTAGTAAGCGGAAATGTTCATGTGGTCAGAAGAAGGAGGCATCATCTTAGGGCATAAAACTAAAATGTCATTAGCAAGAAACTTTCTTCAACAAACAGAACTAATCTTGAAGGTAGCAAGAAAAGCAGCACAAATTCTGACCCTGTCCTATGCAACATCTTGTTAAAATGTTACTTTATGTATAAACTGAATATATGAATGTATGAAAAATATATGAACTGAATTCATACATGATGTGTAGATATTTGGCTTCTTGCACAAGTCCTTGCCCTCTCCCCCAATCCATTCCACTCCCTTTTTAAAATCAAATGCTGACTTACGAAAAAAACAAGGAACCCGTTAACAAGATTCACAGCCAAAACAAAAAATGTTTACAGATGGTGTGGATGCTATTTAATGACACCATATTGCAGCTCAGAGTAAATATATGGTGCTTATTGCAGCTCAGAGTAAATATATGGTGCTTATCAAAGATTTCAGGGAAACAAAAAAGGAGTTGGGAGAAGCTGGCATGATTAGATAGCGGAGTAAAAGAGGTGATTAATATTAAGAAGGCACATTTTAAAAAAAAAAAAAAAAAAAAGGGCAAACTTTTTTGCCCAAGCGAATAAAAGGAAAACAGAAGATTGGATTTGAGGATAGACACTTTAAGCATGTTCAACAAATCCATGGTTTGGATGCTTTGCTGGCAAAGAACTGCTGTTGATAGGGAATGACCAGTTCATCCTGTTCAGGCCTGGTGGACGGTCACATTATCTGTGTGTTCTGCAGAATTACCTTGTGCCTAATTTGTAATCTGGCACGTGGATGTTTCCTCTTCAACTCCCTGAGCAAGGGTAACACACACAAAAATAAAAGAGRAGGAGGGACTTGGAAAGAAATTCATTCTTAATGATCAAGAATCATCTTATTCTCTGGAAAACTATTCTGAAATTTGAAATATYGAGATAAATCGCCGAAAGTTAGTGCAATTGTATTTTTGTATGTAGAAAATTGGTGTTTACTACGTAAGACAGATGCATTTCTTTAAAAGGGAAACTTTAATCTTTGGGACTATGGAAGATCTTCAGAAATCCCCTTGGAAACAGTGATAATCTGAATGTTCCATAAAGAACAGTTAATGAATAAATGAATATGTATACAGGCTACTTGGGGTTCTATAAAACTCATTATTACCTGGATAAATGTCAAGTGTTCTTTTTGCTTATATAATTGGAGTATTATTTTTCTTGAGACACTCTACAGAATTGTTGATATGAAGTAGAGTTAACCACAGTTTGTAATTTTTCTGAAGGAAACTGACAGTAGAAGAGAGAGAACGCTTACAGAAGGAAGAAAAGCTGTCTAAAGTAGATGAAAAAATCAGTCATGCTGCTGAAGAACTGAACAGTTACAGGTAATTACACATCTTAGTTACTGTTGTCACTTGTTCTGAAAGAAAAACAATGTAAGTGAATGTATTTTCTTTAAGGTGTTTATCTCTTTTTTTTTTTTAACATACTAATTTGTATGTAGTAATAAATGGTAAAGGATCACTTAATGAAGATACTGAGTATGGAAAAATCATTGGCATTTTCTTCCATTGAAGTGTTATTTGTGTTGACGTGTTGGCTTTAAATGAATGGTAGGAGTTCATCTGTAGTCTGGAACGTTTTACTGACCAGAGATACAAATACCAAGGAAGTTTAAAAAAAGAATGCTATAAAATAAATACAACATGCAGTTTTCCTATAGATCCTAACACAGGTATACATTACAGCTGTAGAAGTGTATATCTTTATCTCCAGACTTGCCAAGCAGTATTAGTATTTACCAATTCTTTATTAAAATGTTGCGTTGCGGRAATATTTTCTGTAATTCTCTTTGCCTGATTTGCTCCCTTTGGGGCTAAAAATAGCTGTACATAAACCAGATGTACATGTGTGTTGGCCTTTTCTCAAAAGAGAACATAATTCTTTAATCTGTAATGCGTATCTCACATATTCCTTCAATGTCTACGAGGACATTGACTGTGAATGATACTGATCAGCAAAACCCCCTGAAGGGTCAGTTAGATTCATCCTTTCTCTAGAAGGTGACATTTTTGTAGATAGGCTTCAGTACTAATGCAGGAATACAGAGTATAACCTTTATGACTTAGTTCAAACATGAAATTTGTAGAGAGCCCTTATTTTTAAAGAAGATACTAATTTTGAAAATTTAACTAAGCAGTGAATGGATCTAGGGCCAAGCTTCTGAGGAACGCAGGAGCTTGTCGAGGGTGCCTGTGAGGCAGCCAGCAGCAGAGCTGGCTCTTGGTGCAAGGCTTGCAAGACTTGGGTGCAGGTCACTAGCCCTTGGGACTGCTCTTGGTAAATATTAGTAGCACTGTATTCCAGCCATGTGAGTGTATTTTCTGAGCTGGGGAAGGACTGGCTGTTCTTGCATACTGCACAATATGATATCATAAGGCCATCAAGTCGTTTTTTGCATCATCCTTTTTCTGTTCTAGCAGGGCTTAGAACTTCTGTTGCTGCTGTCATTTTTTAGGTACCCCATGGTCCTAAGTGATGATGCTTCCTTCTGGATATGGAATTTCTAATTACACCTTGTGTTTACTTTGTTTTTTGTTRTATTTAAAGTGACCTTCCTCAACATAATTTGATTACAGTGTCCTATTTTCCTGTACAGGCAGCGAGCCAAAGATCTTGAAGAGGAGCTAGAAAGAACCATTCGTTCTTACCAGCATCAGGTAAGTGTTTTGTGGTACTCCTCCTCTTTGGTGTAGATGTTGTTATAGTGACTAAAATAACCTAGGTTAAATATTGTTTTAGCTGCTGTATTTTACCTTTTTTTTTTTTTTCCTCTATTTAAGGCCACCTGGTTTGTTTGACAAAAGTTCATAGCAGAAATCACCAGATAACTTTTAATAAGCTTCCTGTTTAAATTTAGATGTCTCAAAATTAAGAATCTACCTATACAAAATTTATGAATGAAAGCTTATATAGTTGGTCTTAAATTTCATTTCTTATTTGAATAGATTATTTCACTGATGGTCTAATGAATGTCTCTTTTTAACAGATTACTTCACATGAGAAAAAAGCTCATGATAATTGGGTATGTTCCAAATACTAAGATTTTTAACCTCGTGCATTTAAGTGCTGTCATCTTTTCAATTATTTGGCAGCTTTGTAATTTTAAATTTCTTGTTTAAAAACATATAATCAAAAAGCTAAGCTGTTACCTTTAAACTCACTGAATACTTACAGAAATATACAAAAGCATGTTAAATAAATCTTACTTCATATAAAATAGTTGCAGTAATTAAGGTAGATACCTCTGAGTTCAGTAGAATGATATTCCAGTATTATACATCTTAGCAGTAAATCTGCTGGAATAAGATGTTAGCATTTAACAAATGCCTGCTGCTTTGCTAATAATAAGAGCTTTTGGCCTTGTTTCAGTGCCATTTTAATGTTTTCCCTGGGTGTGYTCCATTTCTTTTATCTACTAATAGCAGCCACTATGTCCTGTGAGAACGTTATGTTCCACAGACAGCTTTGCAAGAATGTTGCTACGTTTTACATCTTCCTTCAAACATGAAACTTAAAGCATGTTYGTTTGGAGATACTTTATGTTTTTACAGAATTGTCTGTGTAAGATAGAATTGAATTAAAAGCTGTGATACTTAGTTCCTACAATTTTACAGATTTTAGCTGTATTTTATACCGTATAAAATTTTATACTTTAAATCTTGTGCATATTTTGTAGATGCTTCAAAGCAGCTATAGCCACAGTGTTGTGTTCTTGTAGTCTTAAGAAACAGCAGGGAAACCATATCAGAAACCCTCAGAAATGTAGATAGTGGAGTTGCTAACGTCATTTGGTGATGTGTGTGATGCTCTGTTCCATATGCTTTATACATGAGTCCTTTCTTATGAATATTCAGTTTACACACTTGATATAGAACCATGTCTTGGATCTATGATCTGTAACGATCATGAAGCATTTAATAAATAGCAACAACTAAGCATCTGTTTTTTTTGTCTTTTTCTGAAGCTGACAGCACGAGCAGCTGAAAGACATCTCAGTGATATAAGAAAAGAAAATGCACATAACAGACAAAAGTAAGTGCAGTATTGGTATCATTCTGAACAAAGACAGTTTAGCTATGCAAATATGTTTTGGATTTTCATACTTTACTGTTTGCTAGACATAAGTTAATCCATTATAGCCCAGCCAAGGGACAGCCCTTGTTTCAGAACTGCAGCGGAACATGYGGAGTCATTGGAGCGCTCCCATAGTGACAGCAAACAACAAAAGAAGAAGTATGTGAAGTACTGAAATACTGTAGAACAGAACATACTATGAGGACTTGGGATTTTGACTTTTTTAATCAACTGGAAGTGATGATTACTGAATGAATTTGCAGTTTAACCCAGAAGTTAGTACTTAGTTACCAGATCCAGTGGGATGAGTGGGAAAAGAAAGGGGAAAAAAAAAACCCTTCRTGTGAAAATACTGATATTTACTGTGAGCTCTATAGTACTTGTGAGAATAATGCCATGCTAGGAACCTTGACTCTAACGTGCCACTTGAATTTTTCAATTGTTGTTTAAATAAGTGTARGGGAGCGCCTTGAGGAGTTCTTAAGTATCACAGAACTTTGAATTATCTGTTTYATTTTTTTACTTAGTTATGGAAAGTAATATTTTGGTCTATTAATAATTTTAATAAAAACATTAGTAGTAAACAGTGTAATGAAATACAACCTTTGTAGCTTCTGGTTATTTCTTTCCTTTTTTTGTTGTTTATTTGCAGATTAACTGAAACAGAATTTAAACTTGACCTTTTAGAAAAGGATCCTTACGCTCTTGATGTTCCAGTTAGACCCTTTGGCAGAGGTACAGTATTGAATTGTAAAACAGAGCCTTTTTTTCTGTTGGTTTCTGGTTTTGTTTCCCAAGACCACACATGTGTAATTGTTTGAAAACTCTTGGCCTGTGTATGTACAAATAACAGTTGTTAAAACAAAACTGGGTCGTAAGTGACTCGAGGTTACTTCAAGTATTTTCTTGAAACTGAGAATGTGGGTAGTATCAATGAGAGTAGACTGCAAATATGACACACGTGGTGATTCAGCACAACTCGTATTTATGATCCAATTTAAAGTTCACCTGAGAAGTTAATTACTTTATGCAGTTTGTTCAACTAAGTATTGTGAACTTGAGTATTTTGTTTTAACTGTTCCAGAGCATTCCCCATATGGACCCTCACCAATGGGCCGGCCTTCATCTGAAACAAGAGCTTTTCTTTCCCCTCCAACTTTATTGGAGGGTCCTTTAAGGCTTTCACCTATGCTTCCAGGTGGAGGAGGAGGAAGAGGTACAATTCTTAAACTTGAACACGTATCTATTCTGGATTTCTCTCTCCTCTGCTGTAAACCTGTCACACCTTTTCCTCTTGATGGTGACAAAAAATACTAAGCCAAGCAGCTTATTAGAAGCAATTGCTGACATTAAACCCTTCTCAGTTTTCAGTTGCTAAAACTGTCTGRTATATAACACCAAAATGGAAAGTTTAGTTAATACTAGTGGGTCATTTGGGTAGATTCACTTCAAAGCAAAGGTTGAGAAAAGTGAAGAATCAAACTTAGTCCATCATGTTTTATTTCTTGGACAAACAGGATTTGCTGAAATAAGCTTCCAACTTGAAGGTGAACAAGAACAAGTTAGTTCTCTGAAGAAAGATACTGTCATTACAGTGGTCCAAAGACTGAGAGAGAAGGAGGAAGAATTTTGTTATAAAAAACATAGTATGGTTTTATAGGACTGATTAAAAAAAAAAATTATGCAAGTAGCTTTTCATCCAGAAAATATTTTGTCTCATTTTGCTTGAAGTATTAAGCAAACTCTGTACAGGATGACAGTTCCTTCCTTAATAATGAAAGGAAAAAGAAGATAATTTGATGAAGTTAGAGTAGAATGCAGAGATTCAGGAATAGTTGAAGGCAAGCTGTGGTGTTATGGATGGAAAGGGAAGAGCACCAGTTCTTATTGATGTTTTTGCAAATACTGTTCATGGAGTTCAGTCATCTCTTACAGGTGGTGAAGAAGCTGCTGTTGGCTTCGTACTACTGCTGTGCCAGTTGGCATCTGAAGTTAGTATTCCATAGGAAGTATGGCTAAAATCTTCAAGGGTTTCACCAATGAATTGATTTTAAAAAAAAAAAAAAAAAAAAAAAAAAAGCATTGACTATATATTCATTTTAACTCTTCATTAAAAAACATATCTAGTTGTATACAAGAATTGATTCACATTTTAAATTACAAGAAAACTGAGTCTGAATGTTCAGTCATAGCTATACCACACAAGCAGAATTTCTTTACTTTTATATATATATTTATATGTATGTACACACACACACACATATATATATATATAAAAAGAAGAATAGTTTTTCCTTGTATAGAGGCAGTAACTGAAGAATGTTTTTGTCCATATCTTTAAATTGTAGATGAACAGTGGGGAAGTGAGGAAGAATAAAAACTGCATATCAGAGTGCAGTCTTAACAAGGAAAGAGACTATCCTAAGGCATAAATATAGTTTGCTTCATAGTAGAGAACTAGTATAGCTAGAACAGATTAAACAACCACCTGTTTAAACTGCCATAACTGGTGACTGTAGTGCTGGTTTGGTTTTGCATAAAACAGAGAACGGTTTAATTTTCAGATTCTAGGGTAATTTTAGGACAGAAWACTAGGGAATGGTATCAGAATCCTGCATTTCTTATTTTTCCAACCAAGTCTTAGTTTAAAGGAGACTTACAAGTTTTCCATTTAGGGAAAAAAAGATGTTTTCAAGTATATTGTCAGAGTATTTTTCACTTGGTTATGTGTTTATCTAGTCATTTTATTATTTATTACTGTTTTTTAAAAAGAGAGCCAGAAGAGTTTTGAATGCAACATGGGTGTTTTTCTTCTGATGAAGATGTTAAMTTTCACCATGATGATTTCAGTTTCTCTGGCAGTTATTTTAGCATTAAGAACAACATTGACTGAGAAGGCACTAGTTTCTGTGATTTGAACAGGAACTCTTAAAATGATTTAAACAGTCTTTTGTAGGTTACACTTCTCCTGGACTACATTTTTTTTTCTTCTGTTTGTTTTGGTTTTGTTTTGTTTTATAAACCTTTGAATTATTTCTAGTAATAACAACTRGGCTGAGTCATCACCAGGCAGCTGGAGGGTCCTGTAGAGCCACATACCTCTTGTACCTTGAAAGTTTGGGCCTTCTCTGACCTATCTGGCTACTTTCAGACTTAATGAAGACAGTCATAGTAGGGAACTCATTTTTTGGGTAAATAACTGTCTAATTTTTTCACATAGGATCCAGAGGGCCAGGAACTACTGTCATGTATGAAGGCAGTAATGAAAGAGGAGAGCTGAGTTCTGATAGACTAAGTGATCCACACAGGCCACCATCAGATACTGGGTCCCTGTCTCCCCCCTGGGACAGAGAACGCAGGATAGTGCTGCCTCTACCAGGTAAAGAAAAATGCTTTATCAAGATGACTAAACAAGCAAGATGACTAAAGCTTTTGCTTTAATAATTTACTAGAAATGTAAGCTGTTGCATTGCATGTATGCCTGGTGGGATTCCTGTAGGCTTTTTTTTTTTTTAGAGAATGTTTGCCCACTCTGATTAATAATAAGTTTGGATATTTACAAAAACATTAAAGATCCAGGGAATCTTGAAAGTGTAAAGTGGTAGGAAATGAGTGAATACCTCTGTGAATCTTTACTCACCTGATCTGATTTTTTTTAAATTTCTTTTTTCCTCCCCAATATTAGGTGAACCTTATGCTGATTCAGTCGTTCCTCCTCCTCCTCCTCGAAGGCAAGACAGATTTCTTCCTAATCCTCCAAATTCTGGAAGACTTTCTGGTCCAGCAGAACTACGGACTTACAACATGCAGTCTTTTGATAAACCAGGTGGGCATTGCTTTAACTGCCTGCCATAACACTATAACTGCGTGTTCCCAGTGGATGAGTTGGCAGTCACGGGCCTCTGTTGGAGGGATGGGAGGGGTTTGAGGTTCATTCTTTCATCCTTCCCACCTTTGACTTGGCTTTGAACGTGTTACAGCCTCTCCCATAAGCCTTACCTTAGCACTAGCATTTCACAAATATTTACATTCGTTTCCATCTCAGTTTTGCTTGAGTTACAGAGATATTTTTGTCATTAAAACTGAAAGAATAATATCCAGTGTTTCAAGTATCCACTGGCTTTGAGTACTGAACTGGATGCTTGTGAGTCTCCTCCTTCGAGGTATTGACCATCCTTAGACTTTTGGTAGTTCAAGGTGCAGCTGCCCCAACTGAATCGCACATCCGTGAACCAGGCACCATTTCCTTTAAGGTGGCCAGTTATATAAATAATTATATAGAATCCAGTTTGTGGCACTTGGCAGTAAACAAGCTTAGAAGCCAAGTCACAGTGACTTCGATATTGTAGTTAAAACTGTCTGGGAGCTTCAAGTCTTAATACTTGTTAATGAGTTTTCATCACTATTTAATGCTTAGTAAGTCACATATACCCAAGTCATCAGCTGGGCTGTTAAACTCATCACACAACCTTTTCCACGCAGTGTTCAGTTATTATCTTTGACTAGTTTCTAGCAGCAGGAAGGAGAATCTTTGTTTTCATGGACCCTCAGTGTCAAATAGGAAATAGAAGGTTAACTTTCAGGTTAGCATTTTAGATCTTTACAGATTTCTGTCTGCTGGAGGATAGTTCTGCTCTTGTCCAGCCACTCACCTTCCTATCCCCTTTCTTAGCCCCCGTTTGCCCGGCTTCTTTCCCCTTACTGCCTTCCACCRAGGCCCTTCTCCTTCCCGCCCCTGGTGGTGCTGGAGAGCCCACGGAGCAGCCTGTGCGCTCGCCCCCTCGCACCCCATCCCAGCCGTTCCGCAGGCTGCAAGCAGCAGTACAAACCTGCTCCTCGTTCCCAGGTGGAACAAAAACTGCTGAGTGGAAACAGTGTTTGGGATACCTTGGGTGCCAGCCCCCTGCAAGCTGTAGAGCTTGTGGGCATGTTGCTTTTTAGAGGCGTGTAATTTAGCTGCATTTGGGTGGGTAGTGGTAAGAATAGCAAAGAAGGAAACCAAAACCACCCGTCGTCTGCCTGCGGAGCAGCAGCCCGTCTCACAGTGCCAAAAGCAACYCTCTAGCCCTAAAAATAGGGGAAGCTGCACGGCCTCAACAGGAGGACAGAATGCTCTTTAGTGAGAGCAAAATAATGTGTTTTCCTCAGGTGAAGTGGTTAACGCTGCAGAACTTTTAGCTGAAGCAGATACTTGGAGCGGGAAGTTTCTTGCGAGAAAGGTTCAAATTTGGCCAACTCTGAGCAGTTTGACAAGGATTTAAAATGGAAAGTATTACACAATCCAAGCATCAACAAATAAATATTCTGCATGTGAAATAGGCAGTTAAATGCTTCAGATTAAGTAACCATCTCTAGCAAAGGCAGGGACCACTTGACAACATTTAGAATTGAGTTTGGAAAAGGCTGAGAGAAGAGCTTTGTTTGCTTTGCACAACTAACCTGGAATGCAAACGTGTCACTCGCCAGAAGTTTTATTTCTCGTTTTACATCTTCTGCTCACAGTGACTCTGTTCATGCAGAAATACAAGGAAGCTGGATTTTCCAAGTCGGAGCTATGCGGGATGTTTTTTTGAGCTTTTGAAAGAAAAGGGTGATTTTAGTAGCAATCCAGTCAGACTTTCCTCTGAGAATTCCCTTTAATACATTTCTGCAGTCGTTTCAGACCATACTTGTTCTCAGGCAGGTATAAAGGTAAATGCACAGAGGTCTTATTTATCCCTCATAAACGAGCACAGCAAACATGGGGATCCATTACTTTTATTTCTGAATGCCCTTTCAGGACTAATACAGTACCTAAAGTCTCCTTGATGTTCGGTGCAGCTAAGAAGGGAATCCAGCATCTGTCATTTGCTGTCAAACTTCCTGCCAGGAATAGTTCTTGGTACCGRTGGTGGCTGCTCTGGCAGTGGCAGAGGGAAATGGGGATTCATTCACTTCCCACTTGGAGCTGAAGTGGGAATTCCCAAAGGAATAAGTCACAAGTTTGAAAAACACAGCAGCAGAAGGAAGGAGAAGAGAATCTGAGCAGCTGCTGTTAGGTTAAGTTACAGTGTTAGCAAAATGCACTTGTAATTTCCAACGGAAAAAATACATTAAAATGAAAGAAAACGCCTTGTTTGAGTATAGGGGACTGGTAAAGACTGCCACGGGGGTACACGTGTACAGACCTGGACAAGCTGAAGACTCCAGGCAGAGCTTTGTGGCCCAAGGCTGCCTGCAGAGCAGCTGCTTCGTGCGAGAGCGCCCGTAGCTCGGGCGAGGGAAGAGGGAAGGCAGCCCCGAGCAACTGGCTTCTCTCTCCTTGCAGATGGGCAGGCAGCTTCAGAAAGCAGTTCTCAAACGGAGCCAAGTGGAAATGGGATGAAGGATCATTCTAGTCTTGGCGTAAGTAGCTAAACGGGTGCTTGGTTTAAAGTTTCYGATTTAAAGTTTAATACTGTACCAAATATTTATGAGAATTTGTCCCTAGTATTCTGGTTGACCTATCTGTGCAGTCTAAAGGATGAATTATTATTCATACTTGTATCACAACGCGCACTGCCTTGTGAATTGTGGTACACCTTGTATAATCCTGTATATAAACCTATGTAATAGTAAACAAAGGTGAAGCCATGGTCAGGCTGATGGGCTGTACCTAGAGCTGTCTTGCTCGGGCACTCAGAGCCACACCAGGTTTATTAACCTGGTTTATTATTATTATTATTAACCATCCTGTCAGCCTGCAGCAAAAGGGGCTCGATGGGGTGGGAGATTTTCCCTCTCCCYGAGCTGACCTCTTGTTTCACGGCCTTGCAGAATTTACTCCCCGATGGATCTCTGGCACCCGGGGGCGAAGGGAGCAGCTCGGCCTTCGCCCCGCCGCCTTTCCCTCCCGTCCGGGCTCCGCCGCTGCCCATGGATTCGAGAGGAGCTTTCCTGCGCAGAGGCCCCCCCTTTCCTCCTCCTCCTCCTCTTCCTCCCCCTGGCATGTACGGGCCGCCGGAGTGCTTCCCAGGACGAGACTTCCCGCTTCCGCGGCCGCCCTTGCCAAGTAAGTAGCTCATGAGGAGCGATGCTCTGTGCAGGGGATGGATGAGCACGGGGGGAGTGCTGCTCCTCAGTTCAACCGGGAGCATCTTTGCTGGTGGGAGTCACTGTGCCTTTTCTCAGTTGCTCACATTGATAATGTTCTTTTACAAACACTGGCCTTGACCATAAAATACAAACACCTTGCAGCAGTTCAGGGGTGTTTCTTTGGAGGTAAGGAAGCACGTAGCTGCTTTCCTTAATCCATTTCTTCCTAAGAGGTTGTATCATTCATTTGCTTAAAAAGTCCCATCTTTRTAGGGGGAGTATTTCAGCTTTGCTGCATACCTCCCGTTGGGATATACTGGTGTCCGTACGACATTGCATTGGGGATGCCCCTGTTAATTGGTTCCCCTTGGAATTTTAGTGGAGCAAGATATAAATGTTAGACAGAAGGGCTTGTCAGTGTTTTTTACTGCTCTGTGCTCCACCTGTGAAGAACTAAGCGTTTTGTCTTTCCAAGTACCTCTGTAGTAAAGTAACTGGGCTGCCAGAGGAGCTGCAGGTGTCTGACCAGAGGAGGTGGCGGCAGCAGCACCTGGATAACAGCCCCGGCCACGGCACTCGCCTTGTGCCCGGGGGGCAGACGTTCCGCCTGCCCCGGGCTCCCGGCCTGGCTCCTGCAGCAGCACGGGCAGCTTGTTGGGCAGGCCCTGCAGAGCACTCGGCTTGGCGGGAGGAGCATTGCCATTAACTCAGCTCCTCTGCTCTTCACACAGTGCGAACTCCATTTCCAATGAGATCTTTTCCTCACTACCCACCTCCGCGACCTGGATTTTTGCCACCGCCGCCTCCTGAGAACAGGACTGAGCCCCCTCAGCCACCGCCATCGGCTGGGGAGCAGCCAGAGCCCCAGCACCAGACTTGACCGTGTTGAGTGACACAAGGTGCCGTTTCTGCCCTCACATGGGGTTTTTCTAACGCTCAGTTAAGTAACCGTTTGTTACTTAGGGATATATATAAACTACTTTGCTCAAATTGAAGCTTAATAGAGAATTCTCAGGATAGTATTTTGTAAATAAAGAATGAAGTAACTATGAATATTGTGAATAAGTGGTTTCTGTTGTACAATAGTAACTTTTAAGTATTTCTAATTTGAGTAATCTCTTCAGAGATGTATAAAATCAGGTGGGCAATGGTTTAAATAGTCCAGCGGCTTGTCCTTGTTAAGCTGTACAGGGGATCCTTGCATGCCAAAAGCTACACTTGCTTTATGAATAAAATGTGAAAATGTTTTGATTAATAAAAACCTGCTGAAAACGTAGCTGATGAGATGAACCTTTCCTTTCCCTGCTCCAGGCTGTGCAGTCTGTTGTGGAACTGCAGAAATAGCTGAGGAAGGGAGGAGGAATTCAGAGCGTTCCCTGCTTTATCCCTAGGCTCTCCCTTTCCTTGTAGGTGTCTTTGAGGTGCCGCAGAGCTTCACAGAGRGCAGCTGCCCTCCCAGTAGTGAGGAAGGGGAATGTAGGGCTCTTCCTCCCCCTGTTCCCAGCAGTGGGGTCAGCCCTGGGGCCGGGCCCGGCTCCGGTGCTTGGGGCGAGAGCAGGCAGGGCAGGGGCAGGTCTGTAACTGCCCCGTGGTGCCTGGTGGCCCCTGGAGCTGCTGCCCCTGGGAGGAGGCAGCGCTGCAGAGAAGGCCCCGCAGCTCCTGAAGCTGCAAGGGGGASACGTGGCAGCTCTGCCCTGCTTGCCAGCCGGCCTGCTCGCCAAGGGAATTGGGAGAGGTGGGATTCCCTATCCCAACTGCCCAGAAAGGCCAGCAGGGATGTACTCTTGGGAAAACATCCATAATTTTTATAAAACAGGGTCACTTAAGGAATGTAAGAGGCCTTTGCTATAGACTGTGTCTGCACATGTTTCGTTGTGGTAGCCAGGCCTTGTGAAAAGAGAGAAAAGTAAAAGGCAGGGGRGAGGAGGAGGCAAAAGAACCTGAAAAGCTTAAGCTTGAACCTGCAGAAACAACAAATTGTGTGTCCAAGCAGGAGGCTGGTTGTCTAGTTCTCCTGGGACGTTGCTAGTGTGTTAGGCAAGGCCCAGCTTCTTCACCTGCTTCATGTGACAGACATGGGGCAGGGTGTTAAGCAACTGCCTAGCTTGGGGGCAGCAGTTTTGGGGTAAGGCACCTTTAAAATACAGAGAGAAGCAGGCCTAGAAAAGCCCTTCCCYGAGCAGCAGCAGCACTTCCCATCCTCTCCCCCCACGCAGCCTCCCGCTTCAACACGGTTCAGGAGCCGCCTTTGCTCCTGCCTTTGCTCCACTCTCACCAGCCACCACAGCCCACATTCGCCCTCACCGAAACCTCTCCAGGGACCATTAGTGCCGCTGCCCTGCTCGGCCACGGCAGCTCTTCTCCTGCAGCTCACCAGCGCTGCTTTGCTCTAAACGTTATCTCAGCTGCTCTGCTGATCTCAGCTGYTTTACCAAACTTTTTTGAGGGCTCATTCTTGCAAATTATTCTCCTTTATGTTTCTGGTTTAGTCCTCAAAGCCATTCCCRTAAACCTTTGTACTTTGGCTCGTCACTGACCGATTCTGGCACCAGACACTTGAGGTTTGTCCCTGCTGAATGGTTTTAGCTGCTGTTCAATCCAGCTGTTACAGTGCTTTAGGCTCAGCTTTGCTTTCTGAAGACTCTAAGTCTGCATGAAAGCCCTGAGCTAAGTTCTAAAGGAAACTAATTTCACCTTTTTGCCCTTGATYTCAGTCTCCGGAACAGCCAGAATTACCAAGTACCAGGTAGAGCCATCAACCATTTTCTACTTGCAGAAACAAAAGTCATTAAGTTGATAATAAAACCATCACAAGAACCATTTTTTTAAAACTTGCCTTAAGGTTTGTGGGCTACTTAAGGCTGTCCCTGAACAAACGGAGCGCTGTCTCTGTGGAGGCCAAATCTTTATTCTAGCTCCTAACTCAGTTACCCGCCTCCAAACAACCCTGCCTTCCTCCACCCCAGCAGTGCAGGGCTTGCCCACAAGGATACATGAAGCGCGAGACAAAATAAAAGCTGGYGGGACTAGGAGAAGGCAGAACAAGCCCCGATTAGCTCATCCCACAGAGGCAAAGGAAGAATTTCTGACTTATTAATGGGAAAAAAAATGTGCTTTTACTTGCAAAGTAGCAGTTAAAAGAATTTCAGATTTATGCARAAAGAAACAGGACAAGGAAACGCCCCTGCACTGAACAAGCTCGGCCCAAGTGAGAAGTGTTTATGTGGGGGAAAACACCYGCTGCCTCAACCAAAGGCCTCCCAGCTTTGAGCCCTGAGCCGGGTTCCAGGGCACAGTGAATCCAGCAGGACTAAGCCGAGCTCAGTGTCTGCACAGAGGAAAAGGCGGGATCCGGTCCAGGCTTCCCTAACCCCGGGCAAAGCCAGGCGGCCGGCAGCGCCTCGTGCCAACCCTGTTTGCCGCCGCAGGACCGTCTTGCTTCGCTAGCCTTTGGTTTAAAATTGCTTCGCTTCTAATCTCTCTATCCTGATAATCCTAATTCAGACCCCTGCTAGAAACATTAACAGCAGCAACTACTTTTACATATTGCTAGAAAAAAAAAAATATTTTTTTTTGAAGCTTCTCAAGCTCCAAACTTCACCCTACTCATGACCAGACTCCCCATGCTTGAAAACCCAAGGGTCCCACAGCAGTTGGTACCTACAAGGAACTTGCATTCCCACCCAGACCCTCAGCCGCAGCAGCTGGGCAGTGCTCCTAACGGCCATCTACCCATACAGTAAAACATTATAGACAGCGTGGTTGTAACTGCAAGAACGGACAGGGCTGCACATCTCTACCGCAAGCCTCCCTCCTACTCCCTTATCCTGCCTTTGCAATGAGGAGGTTAATTAAAAGCAAAGCAGAAAATAGGTTAGACTGAAAAAATGAGAATGCATTTATATGGCAAGAGGGTAAGTAAGCAGTTCCCACAGCCTCACGGCCACCAGCTCGAGCGCGGCAGCACCCGTAGCTCTGGTTARGAGGTGACCCTGCTCCCTCCAGCCGGAGACACCGACCCCGGCAGGGCCACCCCGGCAGCCCCACGATGCAGAACCCCCCACTGCTGCCGCACCTGCAACGCTGCAGACGTGACTGGCCCAAGCCCGGTTCCCAAAAGGCTTATAAAACAGGAAAACAGGAAAAGGCTTATAAAACAGGWAAATAAATAAATAAATAAATAAAATCTACCTCCTCTTATGGCCCACACAGAGCCACTTTTCCTCTCGGTGCAGGTTTTTCCATGCCCTTGCCTGCATCTTGTCCACAGCACAGGGGATTCCTTAAGCAAGAGGCGACGCGGCTCCCGTGGCAGGAGGCCGGGAAGCGGGAGCGGCGACTTGGAGYACCGCACGCCGGGCACGGATAAAGGCCAAACTGAAGCGAGGTCGGTGTTCAGAGTCTATTTAATAGTGGGACATCAAAGAGCACTACACATTTCTCTAGAGCACATCAGAGTTTGATTTAAGCGATTGCAACGGATGCAGGGATTTCTCCAAGAGTTGTCTGCTATGTTCTATAGTCCACAATGTGCCGGATCACTCTAGTAGGTYGTATCGTGATATATTGCTTGTGCTGACTGCTCTGAGCAGCTGAGCGTTAGCCAAGCACCTTCCCCTCCCTCCCTCCGCCTCAAAACCCTTAACAAAGTATCAGCCAAATAGGAAAATTTTACGGTACAACTTATTTTAGACTCTAAATTTTGTTGACCTAAGCACAACGGGAGCTACCAGGTTATACACAGCTGCAGGATGATTGTTGCAGTTTAATTCTAAAAATCCTCATGCTGATACAATAAAATATTTTGTACAGTGATCAATTTTTAATGCTTTATTCATTGATTAAAAGAATATACATTTAACATAAACCATACAACATCAGTCATCAGTTCAAACATTCAGCTGGTTTCCTTACATTTTCTGTCAGGAGTTTTTTTTATTATTATTCTGATCACATTTATTAGATAAAATCTCACCACATCTGGCATATACACACACTGTGCCAGTGGATTCACTCTACTGATGTACATATAAAATCCGCATGGTATGTGCTCACTGGAGACAAAACAGCGCACACCTGTCAAAAGGTCATTTTAATATAAGATGGTAAAACCATTTGTAAAACACATATAAACTTTTCCATAAATAGAATCATATCTGGACATCTGTTGCATAAATTGTGTTTTCCAAAGCTTACAATATAGCAGCCAGGTCTCAGCACTGCTGGGCACCCACGTTGGCCACTTACTTTATTATTGCAGACTGTCCTTTAAACATTAAATGCACAACATTCGTACCACTTAAAACTGGGGTCAGGTGGAAGTCTCACAGAGACCACGTCTGTACCGCGGTTGCCCTGAAACAGTTAAATCGGCTTTTAAAGCCTCTCAGATATAACAAGATTTTAAAACATACTTCATGGAATGTTCTTCATGCATCGTAGCAGCTCATACCTGTGATAGAACAAGCTTTGTATCTGCTTCCTTCCCTTCCTTTACATTCACTATTCACAGTGAAACAGGTGCATGTTTGTGTAAGAGTTCTGAGGTTGCTGACTGAGCCACAGCACAGCTGTGTTACCACAGGTCGAAATTCGACCTTATATATTACAATCTAGCAGTATCTGGCTGGCCAGAAGCTGGCCGGCCCCTGCCAGCATGTGGGCACTTCTTCGTTTTTAATCTATTCTTTGGCAGCTGACACAGGCGCTGACAGAGAAAATCCAGTGACTCGGTTGCTAGGGATTTCACGACTAATGTTTGTTTGCAGGTGTAGACCTTGACCTGGATGGAGATCCTCACGGCTCTGCTTTTACCCCATCGGAGCGCGCGTTCTGCTTTATTCTGCTAAGCCTGAGCCCAAAGCTAACGGCTAAGGAACATGGCAGGGCATGGGATAAGCTGGGATGAGTTTAGAAAAGAACTAAAATAGAAAAAGAACAGAGAAAAACTAACGAGAAAGGCTGCAGCTTATGGAGTGGATCTGCGGGTGCCCGCACGGGAAGGGCTGCTGCTTCCCGGAGGCTGCGCAGGGCAGCGAGCGGGATCAAGCGGAGGGAAATTCCCGCTGGCAGCAGCCCGGGCGCCTCTGCTCTTCCCGCCAAGCCTCTTGGCAGCCTGCGAGCAGGTAAAGCGAATAACGACGGCGTATGAATGCCCCAGGCTATGGGTACTAGAAAGAGTTGGCTCCTGCGCACGGGACTCCGATTTAACAGTAAAATGGTTCAAAACGCAGTTACTCAATAAAAATAAAGTTAGCCGGCAACCTCAGACAGCCTTTGGCCGCAGACCTGTAAGGTCTGGTAGCCAAGTCCATTAACCGTGAAAGCCCTAAACACTGCCACTTTCAGCTTCTAAACCAATACCCGACTACGTTCTTTGATCAAGAAGTAGAATACACATAGATAATTCTATATAGCTAATACTGATTAAACACAGCACAAAAGGGGTTAATTCACGCTACTGAAAAAAAAAAACATAATAGGACCCTACTTGCATATGTAACCACAGGAATTGTAGATAACGAGCTAAATGCCTTCACTGAAGCTTTGCATCTCCCTATAAAAGTGGCGGGTGGGCTCAGTGAAGACGCTGAGCAGCTCTATGTCCATGACCGCGTGCCAGGGGCGCCCCAAGCCAAGGGATACTTGCTCTATGAGGTTGTGCACGGGATCCACGTCCTGGTCAGCCAGCTCGCCCTGGTCAAAGTCGATGCTCTCCTCTGTGACTTCAAGGACTTTCAGATCGGAGCCACGMAGACGAGCAATTGCAATGAGATTATGAGCCCAAACTGTGTAACCTAGGGAGAAAAAGAAACATTGCTCCATCATCCTCCTGCAAGGCACCTTATGAAGGGTTCCATCCCACAGCACCTCAGCATCTTTCCCTGCCCATCTGCCAGATAGAAGATGATGAGAATTCCCCTGCAGCAAAGCTCCTCCCTGCCCTCCTCCCTGAGTCATCAAGCCCTGTTTTGTGTTTCCTAGGGTAAAAAAAAAAAGGATAAAAATACTTCTGGTATTTTTTTTCCTAGATTTTTTTTTAAACCATCTGTAGAAAAAACAGACTTCTTTAYACCAACTTAAGCGCTATCTATAATTTCAGACCTCCTCCAATCCACCTAGTAGCATAAATAGGTAGAACTGAAGTAAGCAAACCAGTGAGTCAATGCATAAAAGGATCAATCTAAAATTGTATGAGGAAAGTGTGAGGAAAAAAACAAAACCAAAAACTTGACTTTTGATTTCATTGCATTAAAATTTAGAAACCTCTCCAGGCAGTAAGTCATATATATATATATATATATATATATATATATATTTTTTTTTTTTTTTTCCCTGAGCTTGTTATTATGCCTGCAGCCAAACATAATTATAAAGCTTCCCCCTTCTCCCCTGGGTGAGCACTAGCTTCCCTGTTTAGCAACATCTATTCCCCGGCTACCTGCTGGTTTTCTGTATGTTGGCCCCAGCAAACACCAAGTTCCCCCTTACTCAGACGCCAGGCAGAAACCACCTGAGAAATCCCCTTCTCAGGGGGGAGCTCTGCCCAATTAGTCCTTGCACTGCAAAGGAAAGGCTCGTTTTGCCTTCGCTCCCAGTCTGGCAGGCGCTAAGCACCGCACGGATTCCGCGCTGCGGCCTGTTTAAGTCTCTGAGGAAGAAAAACCAGCTGTGACTTGGGCTTCAGCAGGGCAATTAAGATACCTGGTTATGTCCGGGGCCACAGGAAGACACTGGATGCCCAATGGAGAAAGGACTTCTGGCCAGCCAGGAGAACTGATTAAAGAGAGTCTCGCTGCTGCATCTGTTACTTTCTCCTGCTGTTTAGAGGAGATGTCTGTAGTTGTCCTGTAAATGTGTTGCTCAAAGSACATCCTGGACAAGGAAACTTGCCCACATCCCTTTGGCTCATTTCCAGTGTATCAGGAATCAGGGACACGCTGCTTCTGCCATTCTCATCTGCTGACTCTTCACCCCTAACAGGATACTGCACCCAAGGAGCCACTCAAGCTGTACCCATCATATTCCTGGCAGGATTTGAAGGAACTCAACACTTTCCAGTTATGACTGTACAAGCAACATAAAACCTTTAATAGAGTTTTATGTTTTATCTGAACTTTCTCAGTAACTTTATTTGTATGCCAGATTATCCCACTCTGCTCCTATCCTACCTTGTCCATCCCCTTCCCCATCTTTTTCACACATTCCCTTCATCCCACAGGAAAACCCTTAAACCCTTCCCTAGGTTTCTTCTGCTTCTGAGGATGTCACCTTGTTGGAACTGATACTTCYCACTAATGACAGAACAAAACCTTTAGGCATCCAATGAAAAGTATTTTTAGGGTTTCTTTTCTCCTCCTCTTTTGGCCACTGACAAGTGGCAGCCAATGCTGTATCTAGAGCTAAGTCCTACTCAGGGCAAACTAAAAGCTCTGAAAGGAAGAAAACCTCCTTTCCTCCTGAAGGAAGCTTGGCAGTGTCACAAAAAGCCTTAACAAGTGGCACCGAAGTTCATTATTTGGCAAACAGCAGAAGACACAAGCGTGAGGATAAGTTCCTCTACTGCAGCATCACAGCATCCTAGATCTTTCCTCCTAAGAATWTTTCCTTACAGGAAAATATACCCACTGCCATATATAATCTGCGATCTACAACGTCCAAGAAGTCCCCTGAATAGCTCAAAGATAAGGAGGTTTATAAAAAGCTTCTCCTATRAAGGGGGGGAAGGACGTGAATTCCTGTGCCTGGGGAAGGGAAGTACTTGGCCATTCCTTGCCCAAGGCCTCTCCTGCATCTGTCCAAAGAAAAAGCCCAGCGACCAGGAAGTGCTGCCCAGAGCTGCAGCTGCTGGCTTGCCAAGAGCGCTGCACAGCACCAGATACTCCACTGAACAGGCCCGGTCTGCGACTAGACAGGAATGACAGGCCCAAAGGCACATTTCCAAGCTGACAGGGCACCTTGCAGGACTCTCCTGCATTAGGATGGTTACTTTCAGATAACATTTAAAAATCTCTATCAAGCCCTCAAACTTTTAACCAAACATTGAAGACAAACTGCTAAAAACTGCACTTTATATAGACCATTTTTACATTATTTTATAAATTTGGTTATAACATTGGTTATTTGCCTTAAATTTGCCTGGCAATTGTAACTTTCAGCAAGTAGCGTACTTGTTACAAAGCTGAATGCAGAAGTGCAAGCCTCTTTCCATTTAAAATCATATACCTAATATATAGGTGATACAAACCTAGCTGTGGCATTACTTATAAAACACCAATGCACTCAGCAGGGCAATCTCCTCCACATAWTATTTCTTTTCCACTCTTAAAACAGTACAGTCTGAAATTCCTTTCACTGCCTTCATCTGCTGGCAAAGTGTTACCAATACAGCTAATAAACTTCCTCCCCTCAGCCTTGGGGGATTTTAATCCATATTACTCACGAGCAGGAGGCACAACCATCTCATCCTAACAGCAATGTGAACTCATGGTAAAGCAGCAAGTGTTATCAGTGCTCATGTTCTCATACCCAGCCCCAGCTGCCAGACATGAAAATCTTGTATAAGTTACAAGAGCTTATGCTTTTTGCCACTTTTGAGCAACACTCTCACTAAAACACTATGACTATAAAGGCTAGAGCATTAAAATTATTTAACTCACATACTATACGAATGCAATGTGTTACCTACCATGAACAGCTAGAAGAGAGAGTCTTGTGCACCTCCAGGCTAGCAAGACAAGTGGATCTTCATTCCGGTTGTCACTAAGATCTGGGAAGCCTGACATATCTATCACATCATTCATTAGTATGAAATGAGTGAGGAACTTGTCGTACTGCCTGGATATGAGATCAACAACGGCCCCTGAAACACAAGTGATGTAGCTGTCAAAGTGAATCCTCTCTAGGGGGATACTGGGCTTAAGAATCCTTAACATATCATCACTCTTGACATCGAAGGCCATTATATAGACCCGAAGGTTGGCGCTGTTGCGTGTCAACGCCTTCCAGTTCTCGTCTTCTGGCATACTGTCCAAGGACTTGTGCATTATGGAAACGCTGTGYACCAGAAGAGACAGTCGATGCAAAGGCACGTGGTTGCTGTCAGCCAGGACTCTCGCCATCTCCGCTGTAAAATCACAGAAATCCAAAGCGAGCGAGCGCAGGTTCACGAAGCGCTCCAGTTCCACCGCGGTGATCAGGGTGGTGTTCCCAGGGATGTGGTTGTCCAGCAAGCTCAGGTGTTCCATGGTGTTGGCTATGGGGTTCGACAAGGAGGACAACGACGTGGGAGTTACTATTTGGAGCATGAACCCACAGGAGAGCCATTTCAATTGCCTGCTATTGCCTAGGATCTCTTCAAACAGCTGTTGTATTCTGCAAGTAAAAAAACAAAACAGATGATGATGCTATTAAGCATGSTTTAGTCTCACCAATGCATACTAAACTATTTTTACTCAAGAACTATTGTTCCTTTTATGACTTACTCTGCAGGAAGGTGCTACCATGAGGGTTCTCATGAACTACAAGTTTTAGTGACCGACTCTGCAGACCTCCCATAGCAATTTAACCTTCACTGCACTTAAAGGGTCAAAATCACAAACGAGCTTGAGAAACACTATGTGCTTTATCTTTTGCAAACAGCGGTGCCATCTCAACCTTCATTTCATGTTTCCCAGCACACATTTTAACATCCTCCCACGCACATACTAAGGCTATGCAAATAKGAAAACCTTTTAAAGTTCTTATTTAAAAAAAGAAAACAGGTTTTGTATTTGCCTAACTTCTTCAGGACTGCAAATTCAGCTTGACAATAAAACYGCTTCCACTGTAAAGTGGGAGAAACTTGGTTTTGAAGCTAAGTTAGAATCATCTGAAACCAAGTGCCTGATTTTTCTTATTAAAAGGCAAAAAACCTCCCCACAAAAACACACACACACACACAAAGATTCTTGAAATAATCCCAAATTCMGGGATGAGTGACAAATGACAGGGTTTTCAAGCATCAACAGCTTTGAGTTATACCACAACAACTTGGACCCAGGAGCAGCATTTCAATCTCAAATATCGATGACAAAACCACTTATTGTATAGTATGATTATAASGCACTTACTGTGATGCATAGCCCCTTACTTTTTTTTTTTTAAATGGAAGTTCTTCTGCATTAGGTACTTAATTTAAAAAGGCAATAAAATATTTTAAGATGAGTTCTAGTAGTAGAATTAAACTCCGCAAGTCTCCTCTAATGAAATATTTCTCAGGCTCCATCCCACAGCTGGTAGGGCACAAAACAGTCCCTCTGCCCTAGTACCAAGTGTTCTTTGAGCAGACACACTCTCAAGGTCTGGCCAGTGAGAAGGGAAGTTCATCTTTTGAGCCAGGCTATGACAGCTCCCTCAAGCTTCAAGAAATATGATGTAAATGCATACAGTACAAAATTAACACAAGCTCCCCTGGCCCAGATCAGAGAACCTTTTGCATGGAACATCTTTTCCTTTGTTAGGAGTATCTGCATTTATCACACACCTAACTGAGCTCAGAAGTTTTATAAAGTGTTTTAGCCACATATCTAAATAAGACAGCATGCAGAGAGAGAAAGAAAAAACAAAAAAAAACAAGGTCTATGTAGGCCAGTATCCTGACCRAGAGCAGAGAAAGCCCTAGATATGGAAGAGCGATGGCACAAGGGAAGAACACAGCGACACTTCTTGAAGACTTCTGCACATTTTCAAAAATTTGCAAACTCGAGACATCCTGAATCAGAGGTGCCTTTATGTATTTAGCAACTGTAAAGGAACCTTAGATCTGTGAGCTTGCCCCATCTCCTCTTTAACCCCACAAGCTTTTAGCAGCCAATACATCCAATAATAAGGAATTCTGGAGCACAGTCACCCCCACTTCTTGCTTGCTCAGAACCTACTACCAAGTCCCTCTGATGTCCCTTATTTTTCTATATCAAGAAAGTTAACAAATTAATCCTTATTCACCCTCCATGCATATGTGCTCTTCCTTCTGCCAGGAATTCCCTGGATTTGCAAGGCATGAATTGCCTTTATGACTAAAAGAGTTGGTGTCATTACTGTATTTATCTATGTACTATTATATAAATCAAGGAATATTTTATACTGTTTTGTCTGGTCTAGTCAGCCCTAAAGCCTAYAGCTCTTCCAGATCTTTCCTTATGGGTTTTTTTTTTTTTGTTTTGTTTGCTTTTTAATTGGCAGCTGTGACAAATTAACTCAGGTTTAAACAACAGGTTAAGAGTCACAGATAAAGAAGCTCTAAGAGAATGTAGGAATAAAAYAGCAGAAATCCGGTGCTACTTGACCCAAGGTCACTTAATTTTGTCAATTTGTTTCAAAACTATTTCTGCTGATGTTTAAGTCTGAGGCAGATCCTCCAATGACCTCCCCAAACAGAAAAATTCTACCAAATTTGGTTGAATTGAGAGGTTTCTACCTCCCAAATTTCTCCCACAATTAATGCAAAGACTCCCCCATCTCAGCATACATGTTCCTGAAAGACCCTGGGACCGTTGCTGCAGTGACATACTGCACTTGGGAATATTCCAAGCAGTGAGATTTAACAGAGCATGTATTATTTTACAAAGCTACTGAAAAGGTGACAAAATAATCCCAAGATGTAAATATTCAGAATACCAATACCACCACCTATACCTCATTTAAAATGTGCTTGAGGTAACTGAAAACATTTAAGTTTAAAACATTATTCCTCTAGGATTTATGCACTTTAACAATGAACAGGAACAGGAAGTAAAAATACCTACATTTTTATCTAACTTTCTACTTTTTTTTTTATCTAACAAAAACTTTCAAATATCCTAAGGGCTTTTTTGCTCTTGCACAAACTTATACAAGTCCTAATTACGTGACTGCATCAAGCTGGAGTTTACAAGAATAATTTGAACTGTGTTCTAAACTTTACATGCATGAAGGGAATTCTCAGACTCAGCACTCTATTATCATACCAGCTTACACTCCTAGGGTGCAGTGCAGCAGCCCATTTACAGAACTTTAAGAACTCTAATTTAGTAAATATAAACACAGAACATAAACAAAGCTCAGCTCAYGCAAGAAAACAAAATTTAAGCCAGTGATTGCTCAGCAAGAGTGATTAGTTTCTCTTTGGATCCTGCAAACAGAAGGCAGTCATGTTTTGAGATGCTTGTCATCACCCTGAAGCACACCAATGACCAAGAGAAAAAAAAAATCCTACAAACTACAGAACTTTCACAAATAAATAAAAAGACCATTTTCAGAGTCAGAGGACAGACCAAAGCCTGACTAGGCAGTGTCAATTACTGTTTAAGGCCAGARAATGGTCCTACCAGTAATGAAACGCATGGATGGGCCTGGACAGGAAGCAAACATTACTAAAAGGTCCATATGCTGCCCATTAATTAAAGACTATCATAGTGTTAGGTTTAGTAATAGAGTCTAAACTAACTCCTTCGGAAACAAAACTACCTGAGCCACATGGATTAACCATGAAAAGTAGATTTCAGAAAGCAAAGTTTAAGTGACTACTTTTTATTCAGCTCGAGACAAATGTGCTATTTAGGCTGAGCTTCCACACCGTAACAAACTGAGTTGTAAAGAGAATTTTAGAAAATAACCAGAAACTCTCACATAAAAATGGAAAAAAACACCACCAAATCCATGTATTGCACATGCTGATTACTACAAAGGTAGGTCCCTGAAAATATGGTGCAAGGCCCTTTCCCAGCATAATTCTTAGCTGTTATTAGATGGGGTTCTGTGCTGAGATTTCACTCAAGGTCTGTTGGACCCRCCTTAATGCTTTTAAGGTTTAAATGTTAATGTTTTAAGGTAGTGCCATGTTTTTCTTTCCCGAGCGTTTGAATTGTAGGAAGCAACGGAAAGTTTACTACCATACAAGTTCCAAAATCCTCAACTATCAATGGCCAACTGTCTCTGCAGGCTGCCCAGCATCTTTCAATGGGAGGTAGCAGGATCCTTGCTGGCGTTCCAACTGATCCGAACACCCAAGTGCAAGAGACAACACTAAGAAGCCATAAGGATTTATCTCCTGAAGTACATGCTACTACTGCAGATGATGTTTGCACTGATTTGATTTAATTTTAAAAGAACTAGCAGTTTTTCCAAACCCACTGCTTTATTATCTATCTATATATCTCTCTCAAGCAGCATTTGTTTGCTCATTCCAGTATGTGCAAAGTATGTCAATATCTATGTGAAAGATTAACTTCACATTAGATAATTAATGAACTTTCAATGTCTCGGCTCAGAAGCATGCATACTATGAATAGCATTTTTTGTTATTTGTTTGAAGTATTTAGCTGCGTACTCAGCTGCATAAACATCTGCTTAAATAGTTCTTTAAGCCYCTGGCAATAATATAATTGTGTATTTTTTAAACTTCCCACAAAGAATACTAAAGAAGGAGCTTTAATCAAGCTATCTTTTACTCACACACAGCACTCCCATACCCATGTTAAGGAGAATCCCAAATTGCTCCAAGTTCTACATTGTAAGCATAACAGGATAACAAAGACAGTATGGGATACATAGCTGTGTTTGCATTTTTTTGCAAATTTAAGTCAGAAACAAAAAAGTTAATTAGTTTGTGTTCACATACACACACTGATCTGATAAAGTATGTAGGTTAATCCTAGAACTACTAAAAAACAGTAAAGTGCAGTCTCTAGAGAAGCCAGACTTACTCTACTCCCAAACTACCGGGGGAAAAAAAAAATTGACCAGGTTTAATGACAGTACTTTAGCTTTCCTCTGTAGAAAGCTTTAACAGAACTGCTGAAGTGTTCTGACTRTAATTGTTTAAGGACTGCACTGCAGTTTAAATACAGCAAGCTAAAATACACCTCTGAACTAAACAGGCACATTGTAAACTAAGATTTCCAAGGAATTCTGCAAATATATAACCAAGTTTTGAGATATAACTCAAATAATGTTTGTACTTCTATCTTCTTTCAAGTGTACTTGTKGCATTTCCTCAATATTCTGATGTCTGGCATATAGTTGTGAAATGCATCACATGACTTCCCTTTCCCATTTCTTCATGCTTTCTGAGAGTAACAGCAACTGAGGTACTGTTAACAAATCCCTGGCTCTCCCTCCTTGCCATTAATATAGCATGTTTTCTCGAATGGAATGAGAACAGTAAGTATTCTCACCCGGGTGCGAGACAAAAAAAAAAAAAAAAAAAAAGACACAAAACCCAGAGCTTGCTTCATGTAAATACTAAGGGGGGAAAAAATAAAATAAGAATATAATTTCTTAACATTTTTATCCTATTAAAGGACCTGAAGCTTGGTCAGGTATCTCAGAAATGAAAAGCTAAGGATTCTAGTAACTTATAAACAGAACTTACTGCTTAATCTTTTTGCCATCAGGGTCAACCTTGCCGAGGTATGTATTTGATATACTTCCATGTTGCTGCAGAATGCTTATATCCCCAAAGAGACTTAATTTCTGGAGATTCCTGAAAAAAAAGAGCAAGAACAAAAAGAGATTTTTATAAAAGGCCAAAAAACTGCAGGGAATCATTCTGGGTTAAGTCAGACACATGCAAAAAATTACACACTATTCCATGGAACATACAGGCCATTCTGGGAAACATCTTACTGTCCTAGAGGCAGCACACAAGGGACTCCAAACCCAAACTGAAGGGGGAAGAGGACTACGCAAACAATTGAAGGCTGCTACAAGAACAAATGCCAGTTCTCTATACGCTACAGAAGTGGAGACATGAAAGTGATGGTAGTTTTAGAGTACAATTCAAACACTGCTTTGCACTTGATAGTTAGCAGGGCAAGAACACCAGTCAAACTGCTAACGGCTCCAAGAGCTGAAATCATCTCAAGATGCAGATAGCAATTAATCTGTAGCTAACCGAAGCAGTGAGTTATATAAGCCCTTATTTTCACTAGCTTACAAATCATTGTCAATTCTTCAGATCTCTTTCTAGGAAAATACAGTAACCAGTAGGAATGAAAAATAAACAAACAAACCAACAATCATTATAAGTGTAAATTTATTTATATATATATATATGTGTATATATATATATATATATATAGGTCAAATTCTACATTTTCAAGTAATTATGAATTGCAGTCTGTAATAGCCTTTTCCTTTTACTGCATCTAAAATTTTCCCATTTCGAAGCATCTAACATTAAATAACTTCATTCCACTTTCCTGAAAGTTAATCACTAGTTACATCTGCTACTTATTCATCTCTTCCACTTGGACGTGGTAACATCACTGACAATATTTTGAGCTTTCTTTTCCTCAAAAGCTGTAGAAGACAGCTTGGTATGACAGGGAACACAGCAGAAACAGCCAGCATTGGTGTTCACAGTCAGTGCCACAATCAAGCCTCTATTTTCTACTCTCAGTGCCTTAATTCCGAAAGCTGAGAGCGCAAATGGAATCTGCAGAATCATTTTGAATCACCTATATCTTGCAGAGAACTTGGCTTTGCACTATGCATATTTCCACTGAAAGTGACTGTCACATATTAATTTTAAAGCCACCAAGCCACAGGGCTCACAAGACACTACTCATTAGTATTCTAAGACAGTTTTACCCCTCCATTTCCATTTTATGCACTACAGAGATACACAGAAAACTTCCACCTCAAAACTTAGGCAATGAAAACATGAACCATTTTTTTTTTCCCAAACATAACAGCTTTTACCATCAACAAATCTGACTATGGTTCAAGTTCAGTATTTGATTTTTGTTATTCTTCACAGTGCCATATAATCTCTGTTTCCCTCTCATCTGTGTTCCATAGAGTCCTATAGTGGCATCTTAATCATATCTACACACACTGCTCAAAAACAAAACAAAAACACTAATTTTACAGAATTTTTCACTACTGAAAATATCAAGCTTTAGTTTTGCTATGTGTTTTTTCTGAACACTCATTCTGCACTTTCCTGTTCTTTGGTGGGGGCGGCGGGAAGGCCTTGCTTCCCATAACCATTCAACACAAACACAGGAGTAAGACACTTATTTACATTATTTTTGCCAATTACAGCTGCCTGCTCCAACTGAAGAGAAATGTTGGAGAATCTCAAATACTGTCTCCAGTGACAACACAGGCTTTTTGGTGACTCTGCAAGATAAATACTTCATTTAAATACCATAGTTTTACTGTAATTTGGCTCTTTTGTTTCCACAGTGACAATCTTAAGTGAAACACAGAGGAGGGGAAAAATATATATATATATATAGAGAGAGACATATAGCTACACCACAACACCTTCCTATCCTCTTTTGCAAGCAGCTAGAGGAGAAGCTATAYGCCTCAATTTCACAGGTGCATGAAGAAGGGATGCACAGAAATTTCCCACTGCTTCAAGAGGCCTTTCTGAGCTGCTGCATACAGTGAAATGACTCACAGAAAGTTCGTCACCCTCCCACTTGGCATTCGTTTAGACCTTAGTGTAAAAAATCAGCTTGTGAAGGCAGAGATCATTAGCAACTGCCAAGAGCCACGAAGAAACAACTTGTCCCTCCAGATCCTATTAAAACACGCGCACACACAGGAACTAGGGTATTGATGATTTAACAGAGTAGTTTTTAATTTTGCTGCAGTCACTGTCATAAAGGCAGCAGCTCAACAGTCAATGGAAGAGATACCTGYAGATCACTGTAAGGACTAATATAATACTTTGAATTTAAGTAGATGGTTTAATTTTAGAAGGTGGTCAGATCCTCTTGGTTCCRGAGCTCTTAAAGCAGTAGTTTGGARCAATATGCTRTCCCTTGCAAATGAAATTTTGCGGTGACTTGAGCTCTACTGCAAGCATGAACTGGGCCTAAAATGTATCTTTTTGGATAAATGACTGCCAGCAGCTACATTCGTCAGAATGTTACCACTGTTTTTGACTATTTGCGTGCACTTACCGAGTTTCTTAAATCTTTCCAGTTGTAATTATCAAAGGCTGCTCAAAAATATTTTTCCAGAGCCTTAACATGCAGATTTTTAAGCAAATCTGCAACTTCATAGAGTACAGAAAKTGAATACTTCAAGGAGCAGAAAAACACCTCATTACCTTCCTATATAAAGAGAGTATCTAGAAACTTCGTTAATGAGTAGTGTGACAACTCTTGCCTGTAGTCCTTTGGTATTATAAGTCCCCAAGGAGGCCTCTAATGACGATTTTTTTTTTTTTTTATTGTAGGGTGCTGTTGTTGTTGTCGTCTCTGTATTGTATAAAAACAACTTTAAAATTGGGTAATCTTGCTGTGGACTTAAAGAGCAGCACACAGTTTTACAAAAACAGATTTCTGTTTAGTTAYGAACTATAAGGGGGAAGTTCTTCAAATTTCTCCACCAAATGGTCACCGTAAAACCTGACAAGATTTATGAAAGAATGGCCTTGTTTTAAACAAAATTCCAAAAGACAGCATTTACTGCGATTTAAATCATGAGAGAAGTTAGAAACCTCCGTTTCCACTACTTTAGAAGTTAAATAGCTCTCCTATGTACAATCCCATCCTGCAAGTGTAACAAGGAAATATTAATTATCCTTGTGTTACAGATGAATAAACAGAAGCAAAGGGACGGGGTTGCAGCCATTCCACGGCCCGGCAGCACAGCTGGGGCCAGCACAGGTATAAATGCACAAGGCAGAAAGCACCCTCTGACCGGCCACAACGCCTCCAGTTTACAGATATGGGCACAGTAAGAACCAAACTGCAGTGTGGCTTGGCTTAGCTTTCCTTCCTATCTCATTTCAATCTTAAGCTGCTCGTTAAACTAAAACCAAGTCTTCGAGGTGCTACATGTAGAAGAATCAGCTACTGGAAGTTACTGTGCAAGAAAAAGAAAATTGGAGGAGGAAACTGAAGCAGACTAAAGCTCATCTATTGACAGGGAAGAAAAAAATAGTCTATGTAAAATGTAACCTGGAATAAAATGTTGTGTGTTTAATGTRAACTCTCCCCTTCAGCCCTCTCCACACAGACACTTCTCAATTGCTCACCAAAAAAATGCCTGCTGCAATAACCAAGTATTATGTTTCCCACTCTGTATCACTCATTTCAAAACAAAACAGCAGAATGCAAATAACTAAAATCAGCAAGAAAACACAGTAATGTAAAATTCTATCAGCTCTGATAGCTTTTTACCTGTAGYTTACCACAGGAATTATATTAATCTGCTGGTGAGTAGGTACTGGAGAAGCAATTATTTCTGGTGAACATTTTACAGCAGTCTCGAGCARCGCAGTGCAAACAGAATTTGCAAAAACACCTTTAAAAACAGATGTTGCCATACAAGTTTCTGARCAGGTCACAAAAGCAAGTCTTTTTCATATGAAAAACTGTATCACATAGACTGCTCGCAAAGCATTCAATYATGATAGTCTCATATTGTAGCGATGGTGGTGGGGAGAATTAGCTTTTTTGTTTGTTTTTCAATGAAAATCCAACATAACAGTTTCTGGAGATTATTTGCGTAAAAACTCCAAWTTACGTTGCTGTATTTGCCTCAGGTCTCATATGTTACACCATGATTCTCATCCTGAGGATTCACGGGGCAAGAAATAAATGACAAAGAAAGATGAGTCTGGACCAGCGAGTCATTTCCAGGAATAAGGTTTGTGCCTCGCARCGCCCAGATAAGACCACGACAGAGCAGAGTAACTGAAAGTGAGACTTCTCACATCACATTTGCATCCATCTAGAACAACGAGGAACTGCAGTTAAAGCYCTCTTGCCACGATTCAAAATAAAGAGGAGAATAAATAAATAAATAAAAGCCTCAAGCTGCTCTGTGATCCCTCGGGAATCGAAGATGGGTGGTGGCCACAGGACGACTCAACTGCACACAGTTTTGCAGCAGCCATCTGTAAGTTTTAGCTTAGGTGAATTACACACAAGAATACTGGCAGCCTATTTCCCAAATAGGAGGATCTTTGTGCACGCGGAGGKGAAATAATATTAGCCATTTCCTACGCCGGGATCTGCACGGCTTCCCAAACACATCATTACCAAACCGCAAGGAGCTCTGCCTCCCTCGCTGGCCCAGGTGCTATCTAGGGGCCACGTACTACGATGAGCTCTGTTTTTTTTTTGTTTTTTTTTTAATATATATATATATAAAAAAAATCTTTACACCTATACAAATAAACGGCGAGCAATTGCTCCCATTTTAAGAAACTCCAGCCGAGGAAATTAAGCAGCTAAGTCAAAACAAAACTGCGCAGGAGCAGGACACAGGCACATCTCAAGTCCAAGGCACAGAAAGAGACTTCTAATATTTAAGCTAACGCATTTAACAAAACCCTAAACGCGGTAGTTTCCGCAGCACAGAAACCGAAACTTTGTGCTGCTCACAGCTGAGGCAAATCCCGGTTTACCAGGTAGCACAAAGGCCGGCGCGCAAGCTCAGCCCTAGCTGATCCCCCAGGCTGGAGATGCGGAGTATTTTAGGAACGGGGGTGTTTTCTCCATCCAGACCCCCCCCCAATACGCTACAATTCCAGCCCTCCCGTTATTTCCCCCGCCTCACGCAGCACGGCCCCCCCACCCCCGGGCGCTCCCGTTTCCGCGGTCCCCGTGGCCGTTGGCGGCCGTTGGCGGCGGCCGTTGGCGGTACCTGTTGTTGCGCACGCTGCTCAGCACGCA